ATTCTGGGAGTTGAAGTCCACCCGTCTTAAAGTTGCCAAGGTTGAGGAACCCTGCTGTAGAAGATCCCTTTTCAATTCCCAGGCACTGCATTTTTTTGTTAGTCCGTTTGTTACACTGGGGAGGGAGGCTCTGGCTGGTTGTGCCCACTGGGCGACAGAAGGGCAGAAGCTGCCTGCTCCTCTTTTTCTGAGTTTCTTGAAGCCTCTTGTGGGTTTCGTTAATTCCCATCACCTCCCTGCTGAGGCTTGTTCCTTAGCTCCTTGTGTGTTAGGTCAAGACAACCCAGACGACGCTCTGATACTCAAAGGAGGTTAAGGAGAAGAGGCTTTCCCCCCACCCTCTTGGAGCAAAGGAGTCAGGAGAAGCATTTTTAATGTTTTCCTCCTCCTCTTGTGTCAGTTCGACCTTTTGTCTTCGTTTAGAAAGAGAGGGAAGGTGTTTTCATCTGTTCTCCATTGCTATCTTGTCCCTGACAAAATCCTGGGCGGGGAGGGGGGATAAGTAAATAGTTTTGCAAACTCAATTGCAAAATCAATACACTACCACCTTAACATTTGCCCGTGGTAAACCATAATTTCGGTCTTCCACTGCATGTGATTGGAAACTAAGCTTTGTAGCTTCTTAAACCTGAATTTATGGCTTAGCGCAATGTGTGAACCCAACCACTGGTGCCTCAGCCAAACAAACCTCTGCTAAAACAAACCATGTTGGACATGTTGGGTGAGGCCATCCGTTATGGCTTGTATGCTGTGGTTTGGGTCTTGGTATGATTTGCAATTTCTGTCCATTGTGGCTTAATCAATAAAGTGTATGGTTGAAGCAGATCACAGTTTGGCATGATGAGCAAACCCAGGCTTTGTGGGAATAAAAAAGAAATAGAGGAAAAAAATCATCTATTTAAATTGGCCACATTTAACAATAAAATATAACACGTGCCTTTTTCATATAATTGGGAATCAGGTGCATGCGAATATCCCGTTTATAACTAATTCAGAGGCTTGTTGATATTTTTAACCTGTGAGGATCATTATCCACAGGCTTGGCATTGTACATTACTCAATCCAGAATAATCCTGTGCCAAAATATGTCTTTCAGTATCTCAGAAGTATCCTTCCCTTGAAAAAGTGGCTTCTGTTTTCCTACCTTGTTCTTGGCATGCTTGAGAATTTCTTTCCAATTTCTCTGGCTGGCGTTTTGATCTGATTTTATTGTTAGAAGCGGGGGCCTGCTGATGGTGGTGTTTTCTGTTGCACTTTCCATCCCATTGCAGCCTTCCTGGCTCACCCTCTCTATCCAACTGAAATAAAGCTTTATGAGAAGACTTCCTTCCTTTCTGAGGTCTTAAGGATTGAATGGAAGCCAGGGAGGCTACAGATGGATGGAGAGAAGATTGTCTGTTCCCCATCTTTGTAGTCCCTCTGGCTGTACCCTTCCCAATCTGAAGATGCTCCCTTCTGGGGTCTTTCTCTGAATCTAAATGAAGGATGGGAAGCCAGAGAAGCTGTATTGGACAGAGAATTTTTTGATGAAAGACAGGACCATCATACTTAATTCTTGGCTGCCTCCTCACTAGATAAATGCAAGACTATCTCACGTTGTCCATAATGATTTCACAGAAATTCATTTCTCCTTCGATAGAAATTTTAAAACCAGATGCTCTTTCATCAGATGGAAAGAGTCACTCAGTCCTTATCTTTCTGCCGGTCTGGATTTTTGGCAGGCGAAGGACCTGAAATGGTTGTCTCCCATTTTTCTGAACTAGCCAATCTTGGAGAGCAGACTTTCTTTTAAAACCCGGGGCAAAGACGGCCTTCTTGAGCCAAACGAAACCAAGAAGGACCTTTCAACTTGAGATTGGGGTTAGGTTGCTAAGGAGCCTCTTCTCTCCCTGTGTTGTTGGAGCTGCACGCGTAGCACGCAGCATTCCCCAGGAGGGGCCCGTTGTTTTCTCTCGATCTGAAATCACATAGCTAATAATTCGCTCGCCCAACAAGCAACCAGCTCTCCTCTTAACAACCCGGCGCGCCGTACTTTCCTACCCAGCTGAAACACTGGGGATGGACGTGTGCTGAGAAAGCATCACTAGGCCAACTAGAGTTCACACAGCTAAAAGGGTGGTAGAAGGAAAAAATAGTAGGGACGTGTGGCTGTGGGTTTCAAAACGGCTTCAATGGAGCTCTGCGATAAACAGGCAGCCAGAAGATGCAGTGGCAATGAAAACGGTCCATTTTGCAAAGCGACAAGATGAGTGTGTGGGCTTCTTCCCCTCTTAGAGCGGGGGCCGCGTGGAAAGGGAAAGCTGGTTGGGTATTCAGAGGATATAGATTCAGAGGGCTCTATGAGAGTCGGGGTTGGTTAGAGAGCAAGAAATCAAATTCTGGTTGGTGTGGTCTGGGGTGCCGAAGCCCTTTCCTGCTTCTGGCCCTCTGCCTGAGATCATGTGAGGATCCAAGCTGGAGTGTATTACGTAGTGAAGAAGGTCCAATGGAAAAGCCACAGCTTTTTCCCCCTTACAAAACTGATTTTCTCTCCAAGTTGGATCAGAAATAGACGACTCTTTCTGTAAGCTTCACAGGCTTAGTTCTGGTTAGTGTTTTGGCACCCAGGCGTTTGCGTGGCAGGTTCAGAATAGGAGCCAGAATCCCTGGTAATGTCCATAGAACAGACTGAGCATGTGGCTATGCTTGAGAAATGAATTTGGTGGTTGTGGATGGTAAATCATTATCATTACTACATGTAATCATCGTTGTTATACATTTGGGTACTGGATAAATCCAGCCACTTCTGGCTAATTCCCAAAACTGCGGGGCAGGTGTTGAACAAACCAAGGTTTAGAGTGATGTGTAAGTCTCATTAACTTGCTCTTGACTTTGGCTTCTCCTACCTCTCTTTCATAAAGAATGTTGGATGGTTTGGTACTGTTCTGTAGCTTCTAAAATCTGAAGGCTTTGCTTTAATTGCTCATATTATCAATGAATTATCAGCTTGCAAAAAATGATCTCTAAGAACATGCCTGCTGCAAAATAAGAGGTTTCAGAATTTTGCAGATGGAGGCAAGGAGGAGAGAAAGGGGCTGACCAAGTTAAGAAAAAGTTCCAACGTTACTTAATATATAAGAGTTACATGAGAAACCTTAGATTCCTCCTTTGAAGGTTTAATCAGCCAAGAGATCCTGAACAATGAAAAGCCGCCTTTTTTTTTTGGAAATTACTCATTTCCCCTGTTTGAATTACTCACGAGGAAATCAACATTTAAACATAATAAAACCCCTCTTCTCCACAGCAAAGAAAACCTGCTGCTTGATTAGTCAAGAACAAGGTTTTCCTCGAATTAACCAACTCAAGGCTAACACTCTAATTGTAGGAATTATAAATGTACTAAAGGTGAGAATGCATTTGAGAAATAAGGATCCTTGGAAAGGATCACAATATTGGAAAAGTTGGATCAGTTGATGCAATTGCTGCTGATGCTGGTATTAACCTTGTCTTTATGAGTTTTTCTTTAACCATTGTCTTCACTCCATTTGAATATATGATCCTGGCTACAATTATAGCTAATTGCATTGTTCTGGCTTTGGAGCAACATCTCCCAGATGGAGACAAGACACCTATGTCAGAGAGACTGGTGAGTATCAAATATTTGGTGGGAGAGAGAAACATTTCCTTCCTTCCTTCCTTCCTTCCTTCCTTCCTTCCTTCCTTCCTTCCTTCCTTCCTATAACCAGAGGATGTTTACAATTCAGTTATCGTAAGCAGTTATAGATAGCTATCAATACCTTGGATAGCTGTAGGTAAACTGTAGTTCTCCAGCAATCCCATCTAGCAGAGCCAGTGATGGCGGTGTAGGTGAGCAATACATGGAGTGATATAAGGTCTCCTTAGCTTTAACTAAAGTGAAATGCAAGTGACAATTTCACTTTGGTGAAAAAAAGTTTGTTGATTTTTTAAAAAGAGGCTAAACAAGGAGAGTCTTCTGTTTCATTCATCTCCCCAGCAATGTGTTGTTGAAGTTATAATGCATGGGGAGTGACATTCTTACATTGTCCTTAGTTAAGAGATGGGTGTGTGGTGCCTATGAGTGTCCCACCATTCATTTTACAAAGATCTCTACAGGGTTAGCAGCTTTCCTGGCTTCCTACCCATCTATTCAAGAAGGGAACTTTTCTCAAGGGAATTCTTCAAACCAGGGAGAGGAAACAGCTCAGGAGTTTGCAGAGAGATGGAAAATCGTGGCAGAGATCATTTCTTCAGCATCTGCAATTTCCACCTTTCTGTTCAATTCCAGAGGAAATGTCACGTAGTGACTCCTGGTCTGAAAGCAGGGGGAGCCAGGAATGTTGCAAGAGATGGAGAAAAGCCTAATCAGAAGAGATTTTTGTGATTTGTTTTATGTTCGATGTTATTTGTTTTATGGTTTTACACTGCCCGGAGTTGCATTTTTGCGAGTTGGGCAGCCATATAAATCTTTAAATAATCCATCAATCAAGAATAAAAAGCAAACAGTGCAGGCACCCTCAGCCGCTGTAGCAATCAGAGAAGAAGAAGAAGACAGGCTGAGAATGAGTTATTAAAACCAGAAGTCTCTTTCTCAGGAAAAGAAAACTTCCAGAAAATCAGAAGACAAGTATTAAATTAATCTACTTTTCCAGATTTGTTGGTGGGGCTGCTACCAGCAGGATCCAGTACTGTTTATTATATTTTGATAGTGCCCTCTTTGTACAAACTCACAGTGTGAGCACCAAGACTGGGTCCCTACCATGGGTTGAGAGGAATAGAAAGCAAGTTTGACGAGTGTAACTAAAGATGATTATTTAATGTTTTTATGTATTAATCATATTTTTACACCACCAGACTCCAAAAATGATTTCTTGGCAGTTGACAACAATCAGAAAGGCACGATCAAAGCATGAAATGAATCCAATAATCTTTAAAAACCAGAATAATAGAGTAAGCCCCACAATGCTCTTCACTCAATGAATGCCTTCAAAACAGCTCCAGTGCTGGTTGTAGTTTATTGATTTTACAGCTGGAGAAGGAAGAGAGGAACTTGGACAAAAGTTGGGCTTCTCGTATGCTAGGTGGGGCTGGTAACCCCAGGAAAGTTAAAGCTGGTTTAGCAGGGGCAATGATCTTGGTGAGGGTGGGGTCTGAGTGGAATGGTGGCCTGCCGAATCAGCTCGCTGGACCTTTCTGCATCAGAAGAACTTGTCCAACATTTTCTTCTCGTAATGGCCAACAGCTGGCTCTAAGATTGGCTGTTTTCCTTTCCCTACTGAAATCTTTCCCAAGCAATACCTTAATGTCTCTGTAGACATAGATGAGGCTTTTTTATCAGAAGGATTTAAAACCACCCCCACTTCCCAATTTCTTTTCTTTGACATTTAACCGGAAAGGGTTTATCCAAGCCAGATGTGTGGTGGTGGTGGTGATTATTTCATGCACTATTTTCATGGTTTGTCTTATGGATTTATTTTGTTTAACATGTTTTGGGGCTTCTTCTTCTTCTTCTTCTCCTCCTCCTCCTCCTCCTCTTCCTCCTCCTCCTCTTCCTTTTTAAAAAGCCACAAGCATTTTCCCTGATCAGTGAATTTAGGAATGGTGTATCTTGATCCTGAAGCACATCTGTGATATCGTAAGCTTCCATGGGTAGACTATTGTCTGGAAGGACTGCTGTCTTAAGAGATGCTTTGCATAACCCTAGATTGGTGATATTTGTGTCCTTCTGTTTCTCCTTTTCAGGATGACACTGAACCATATTTCATTGGAATATTTTGCTTTGAAGCAGGCATAAAGATTATTGCACTGGGTTTTGTCTTTCACAAAGGGTCTTACCTGCGCAATGGCTGGAATGTGATGGATTTTGTGGTTGTGCTTACAGGGTAAGTAACTTTCGCCCTCTTTTTCACTTCTCTCTCTTTCTTTTGTGAAATTTGGTGAGAATTCCCTTGCTCTGACATTTGTGAGCATCAAAGAGGACCCGAGGATATTGAATGTTTATAGCAAAGTTACAAGCTCTATTTAGACAGCTTTGCTTTTAAAAGAAGCATTGTTGTCGCAGAGAATTTTGGAGTGCTTTGATATACGTTGATGAGTGCACTTAAATAGAGCTGATGGAGCTTGCTCAGAAGAAAAGGATGTGACTTTGGTTGTTAATTAATTAATTTATTTTAAAACACAGCACTGTCTCTTGAGTGTGACATGATGGTTTTATAATGAGGACAAAAACAACAACCCAGATCTGATTAGATTGAGCTCTTTTATTTTTCTGTGGCAAAAATCAACTTGGGGTTGGCCGTGATCTCATATCAAAAAGAGTAGAGGGCCCGGAGGCTGAAGGAACTGGAACGGTGATGAGAAAATGGATCATTTGTTGGGAGGAACGGTTTGGAAAATATTTGGGTTGGAATTGAGAAGGCTGGATTCTCACAGGGTCTTATTGACCCAGATTTATTGGATGGCAAAAAAAAAAAAAAAAAAGAGGTTAAGTTACAGAATCTTGGAAAAGGGAGGTGTGTATTTTAGCATCCAATTTATCAGTAAGTTTGCTAGAGTGGCGATTCGTTGATCTTTGATCTGAGCGTTTCCTTGCTATTTGCTTTGTTAATACAGGAGGATTGTGCATGTGTTACGGGCCTGTAGCGCCCTGCAGTACTACCATCCTCTTTCCCAGCCCCCAAGAAGACCTTTACAGCTTTGTTTGGAAGTAGGAGGGGGCTGTGTTAACTTTTTGGTTGTTCCACATGCTCTGTTGTGATTCATTTGGGTTAAACGGTCCTCATTGGAATAAATACTGAGTTAACCCTGGGCTGCGCTACAAAATAGTGACTTTCCCTTATTTTCATTGACTGTCTTCATCTGCAGATGATTTATGCCTTGGCATAATTAAGAATCAGATGCTTTGGGCTTTTACTATGGCACTGTTCATGGAATTTAAAGTCTGCTGTTTCATTTTTCCTTGGAATACTATAGCAAGCTTGAGTTGATTACTCAATTTGATTTAGAAACAAACAATCTGAGGCCTGAGAGCTGCATACGCGCCTCTCCCACCCTCCAAGCCTCTGTAAAAATTGTCACCCAGTTGTAGTATTTAAGGGAAGCGTAAAGGTGAAAATGCCTTTTATGTTAAGGACAACGCCCGTAATGACATGAAGTCAACCATGCAGTTTTCTTGGCAGAAGTACAGAAGTGTTTATCAATACACGGAGCAATAAGTTTAACTATAATTAATTTTAATTAAGCTTCCGTTTCAATCCAACTTTATGTCCAGGCTGTACCAATTTCTTTATCTTGACCTCACCCACTTTGAGAGATGAACTGGAAACATACTCTACAAAGGCTTGGATGTTGTTCCCCCAAATGTTGGGCATCTTGGTTTAGAGCATAAAAACTGCCCTTATGAACTGGGCTAAAATCACATCAAAGCTAGCATACTTTGGCCCACATTTTCTTCCTGAGAATCCAGGGAGTGTATCCTGGGTGTAAACCATCTGCTATCTATTTTAAGGCTCCTTACATATGTAAGCATATAGGTGAAGCAAGTAAGGAATATAAAAATTTAAGACAATTCTTGATAGGACAGAACAATAGGCCTGTTCAATCAAACAACTTTGTTCCTACCGCAGGAAACCAGATAGCACTTGGGAAATCTCCAGGCAGAATGCAGAATCAATAGCGTGTTCCCATTCAAGTTCCCAGGAAATGGAAATAGGAATTATTTTTCTTGGATCCTGTGGAGCAATCTGTATAGCTTTCATGACTGGTTGGCTTTCTATCTTATCCTCCATGAATTTGTCTAAGCCCAGTGAAATGACTGATTGATTGAAGATGCGTCTCAGATTTCTTGGACAACAGACTGCTGATTTTGAAAATTCTTTAATAAGAATTATAAAAACGGAAGGTTGCAGGCTATGTTTTAGAAGAGAAGCACAGAGAGAATTTATTTATATGCATCTTTTGACCAAAGCAAAGGACTTAATGCTTTTCATCATTTGTGATGCTGGTTTTCCTCAGCTTCGAAATTATCCAAGGTGGACAAGTTTTTAGTTACCTAAGATTGCTTTTAAATGCTTTGAAGAGGTTGGGGGACTGCA